CTTAATCCAGGCCTCTTTCAGGTTGTATTTTGTGACACATTTCCACCTTCTCAGCCTTCTTTCCTCATTATCCTAGAGAGATGACGGAGACAGAATGGGGACAAGGAAGGACTGAAGAGGAAGCACACAGCTGAAGACTAGGGGAGGCTCCTAAGGGGTCTGCTACCCTGCAGAAAGAAAAGGACTTTCGGACAGTATGGGGAATATACATGGCAAAGGACATCAGGTTCACTCCTACCACACACTGCTAGCAGCTGAAGCTGAGGGCTGAGCCAAACAGAATCAATTTAGTTCCTTGCAAGCCTCTGAATGGTGTTTATCTCTTCAGCAAAAACACTTTTGCAAATAATTTCCAAATAACTGGGTAATCTGAACTGTCAGGGTCACTTTTCTTTACATTTTCCTACATATTTTCATAGGCTAGAATTTTATGGCTATACTGCCTGTGATGTCAGATCCACTGAAGGGGAGGAGGCAGATGAGCTTGAAGCATACATATTACTCAGAGGTGAGGAGGAAACAGAGTATTGTATAATGCAGTGATGTGAAGATGCTAGACGCAGGTTGTTAAATGACCTAGAGCAAATGCCTTCATCCTCCAAGTCTGTCTCCCCATCTATACCATGACTGCAAGGCCTGCATTTGCTTTGTGGGCTGCTGATGACCTCCTGCTCTGTTACAAAGACCATGCTTAAGTGCTTAGCCCAGCATAGTAAATGCTTTAAGGGTTGAGGATGGGGCGCACTCCTGTAGCATGTGCTCAGCATGCTCAGGGCCTCAGTTCCATTCCCAAGTCCACAAGAAAAAGGAAATGCTCTATGATGGTTTGTTGCTGTTAGTCTTTTAGCAACCCTAAGGGAAAGGTATAGCCAGCTTCATTTTACAGATTAGGGAACTGTGGCACAGGTGGCAACAGGATCTGAATTTGGCACTGCTCACCTCTGGAGCACAAGCTCTTCCTGCTATTTATCAGCAGACAAGATCCTCCATGTTATGTGACTTTAAGCTCAAGGCCTGTCCACCCCAGGAAACTGAAAGTCTAGGTCTTCAAATGTAAATCAAATGATGGAACCTCTGTCACTTGAGGAGATGGAAGAGGCGCAAGGGCCTGTCAAGATGTAGTAAAGGCCTGTATTAGGGCTTTGAAACAGTGGGGAAAGCCGAAGAGAGGCTCAGGGGGCAAAAATCAGCAAAGAGATTCCCTTTGGGAGGTTCTCGATAGAATGGAATGTCCAGGAATTGCAGAACTGACCAACAGCACGGCCACATGAGCTGCTAGCCTTGTGATTCCAGGAAACATACTACTAGAGCACCGCTGCTATTATTGGGTCTCAACATGCTGGTTTTTGACAGGCATCTATCTCTTAGAAGGACATAATGCACTTCAGGATGGAAGTAAAATTGCTCCGCTGACATTCAGCCTAAGAAAGTAATCATATCTCAGAGTCAGGAAAACAAAACTTTGCAGCCTGAGAAACCAAGAAAAGAGCTAAGCACTCAGCTTCTACCTAGACCTACAAATAAATCAGACCTTGAATATTTTCTGCGAGTTATCAATGTCTGGGTAAGGCTTCGGTGAATAAGATAATGAATGAAATGCCACCACGAACTCACTATATAAAGCTTGGTACTCTTGGTAATACTGCAATCTTTTCCACTCAAATACCTTTTCTGCTTTTTTACTTGGCCAGGCCTGGTGCTTCACATCCTTTTACATTTCTTTTCTTTTCTGTATGTTTTTGTGTTGCTCTTTCAGTTCTGCAGTAAACAACTAATATTCCCAAACTTACATGGAGGCCTTAAGTCTACAAAAGCATGAACTCCGATGTCACACTTCTGCTACCTGGAAGCTGTAAAACCTTGGGGAAGACTGTCAATGGTGAGGCTCAGTGACATGATCTGTGGGACACATCTAACAGGTTGAAGGGTTACATAGTACACCTGACAAAACACCTCAAAGAAGCCCCAGGACACTGTAACATGAACTAATGCTTGAACAGAAGCCATCCCTTCCCAACATTCCAACTCACTCTTAGTTTATATGTAGTAATACCCTACTACAGTGGTGGCCAACCTATGGTGCACGTGTTATTGTGTTTTTCTTTGAAAACAAAAGATGTTAGTATACAGATGTTTTTTCTAAACTAAAACCTCAGTATTCAGGTTTAATTGCAGTGTTGGCACTTTGTGATAAATAAGTGGGTTTTGGGTTGAAATTTGGTACCTGGTCTCTAAAAGGGTACCCTCAGTATAGGTTTAATTGCAGTGTTGGCACTTTGTGATAAATAAGTGGGTTTTGGGTTGAAATTTGGTACCTGGTCTCTAAAAGGGTCACTATCACTGTACTACAGTATCATCTGGTTTGGGAAACAGAATTAAAGCTCTCAGGTCAAGCTATCTCCAGGTGCAAAAGAACAACAACAACAACAAAAATCAAGATGTGATTTAAATTCCTGTTACTGCACTAAGATGCAAAATTTTGATTAAGCCTCAAGTTTTTCTCAGCACTTTCCTTATCTGTAAAATGGGATACTACACTACACTGAGATTCAATTCCAGAGCAGAACATAAATTGCACCATTTTGTGGACACATCTTAGAAGCAGGTATGGGAACAGAAGAATTAAGCCTCAAAGCAAGTCAGATACAGATTATCTAGAATCTGCTTTACAATGCACAATGGCCTAGGAACACTCACCTCAAGAAAGAAAACTATATAAACAAAAATTAAAATAAATTCACATACAAACAGGTCTTCACAAAAGACTTTCTAACACAAATAACCTAATAAAAGTATTTTTACAGATACTAATTGTAACGTGTTTTTTCAGTACTGGGACTGAACCCAGGGCCTGTGCATTGAGCCACCCCATGACCACACAGCGTTTAATTTTGCAAAAGGGCCTAAATCGTGAAATTGCCCAGGCTGGGCTTGAGCTTATGATCCTCCTGCCTTAGATTTCTAAACTGCTGATATTACAGGCATGTCACAGGCTCACACCACCACACCCAAATCTAATGGGAAATTTGACAATTGCTTAGCATCAGCCTGGGCCTTTGGTTAAAACTGGCTCAACGGAAAAGCGGGCGTGATGATGCACGCCTGTAATCCCAGCACTTGGGAGGGTGAGGCAGGAGGATCACTGTGAGTTCCAGACAAGCCTGGGCTGCATAGTGAGTTCCAGGTCTGTCTCAACTACATAGTGAGACCCTGTCTCAAAACACACACACACACACACACACACACACACACACACACAACTGGCTCAGTTAATATCTAACACTAACAAAACTCTATCATTTCTCAGTCATTCACACCAAAGAAGAGAGTTAACAAAGATACTTAGAAATATTGCCCAGGCACGTTTTATTGAAACCAACTAAATAAAATTGGGGGCAGGTTTAATATTCTTTATCCAAAATGCTTTGAGACATTACGTGTGTTGACTTTCGTATGTTTTCAGATTTTGGAATATTCCCAGATGCTTAGAGGATGTGGCCTAAGTCTACAACAAAATTCATCATGTCTTATACTTTACATGCATAGCCTGAGGGTAATTTTGCACTACATTTTTAGCAGTTTTGCCCACGAAACAAACTTTCCTGGTGTGGAATTTTCCACTTGTGGCGTCGCGTTGGCGCTCAGGACGTTATAAAAGGGTTTTGAAGCATGTCATGGTTTGGATTTCCAGGCGGGGGACGCCCACCCTGTACTCCACACGTATGGTCCATGGACCTGCGTCCCGGGCGAGTGACCACGGCCGCCGGTAACAAACCCACCCTCAGGGCTCCCAGAGAGTCAGCAAGATTCAGGCCATCGCGGGAGCTCCCTCGGGTTCGGCTCCCTGCCTGAGAAAAGGATAGCGGCTGGCGTTCACTGCGAGGACAGCGACGGTGCCTACAGAGCGGGCGCCAGCTCGGCTGCCCGGCCAGGGACCGCACAGGGAGACCCCTGGAGCCCAAGCCCGAGACTCAGCTACCCCGAGACCTCAAGCTC